ACATGGAGGGTCCAGTTGTTTTTGTGCCTTAAAACCCGCACAGACAACAAAAATCTCAGCCGACTCCATACGAGACGCAAGTGGCTTTGTCGCCTCCACCTTATCAAAAAGCTGCTTCAAGACCCACATAAGTTTGTGGAAGTCCTGAGAGCGAAAGACCTTCGTGACAAACCACCCCGATGGCTTTAGCATGGAAGCTGCCATTTTTGCAGCGTGAAGAACCAAGGCATTTTGCTCAAAAAGATCACGTGACCACACACCACCCACGTTAGGGGCGCCATCATGAATGACGCAGTCCACGGGTTCCTTCTTGAGGTAAGTCACGATCATCTTCCGTGTCTTGTCATCTGTGATGTCACCGACAAACGTTTTCACACCGCGAATTGGGGCAATCGGCACCAAATCCACCCCAACAATCTTAGAACCCACTGGCATATGCTTCGCAGCGACTTGGCACCAACCGCCTGGCGCAGCACAGAGGTCGACAAGCACACGACTCTTCGCAAGGAAGTCGTACTTGCGGTTTAGTTGAATAAGTTTAAACGCAGAGCGGGCACGAAACCCCTGATCCTTTGCAAGTCGGTAGTACGCATCAAGACGCGTCTTTGCCTTCTTCTTTGACTTTGTCCCCATTATTATTTTTAATCCTTTAGTCAAAGGCTTCTTGTTTCCTTTGGGTTTCTAATTCTTTTTGTGTGTTTGCGTGTCTGTGTGATGGATGTTCTTCCTCACGTATGCCTTCTATGTGGCGTGGGAAGATGCGCTCGACTAGGAGGAAGAAATTCCTACGGGCCTTGCAGTGAAGCAATTGAAACAAACGCACACACACACACAATATATATATATACATGTACAGAAAAACAAATAATAGTGGAAAAGTGAGAGAAAAAGAGAGTTGGAAAGATGCACGTCAATTGACTCGGATCACGGGGACACAAAAAGAGGGGTGGGGTGGGGGGAGTAATGCATAACACTGAGAACATACGAGGATGTAGGCGCACCCTTCGCTGCTACCAACAGAGAAGGAGAGAAGAAACGAGCGGACCGTCTCATGTCAACGAGGATGCCGGGTAGTCACGGAGGAGTTGTGATGCCCTTGAAATCAGACCCTCCAGCCACGCACAATCATACACGTCCTTATTTCGGGACCCTTGCGGTGGTCGTACCCGTTTTTCCAACGGGTCCTTCAGCAGATGAATGATGACATCAACAGATTGCCCCACAATCTTCTGGCGCAACTGCATCATAAGAGCCGCGCAGACATAACTGTGGAAGTCCAGCACCGCCTCACTATTCCCAATGGCCATATACTTTTCCCAAAGAAGTACCAACAATTCCAACGGCAGCTCTCGTGCAAGCAAACAATGTACCCATTGAAAGCAACAATCCATCAGTCTGATCTCGTTTGAGAGAATAGAGTCCAGTAGGACAAAATCCGCCGCCTTCAAGAGTGCCTCCATAAGCCCTATACTACGCAAAATACCAGGCTGTCCATGTACAAAGTTATCCTGCAACCACGAGAGAAAAAAGCCGCCGCAAAAATATGTATCGGCTTCTGCAGCCTGAAACAGGTCGGCAGGCAGTTGCTCCATGGCGGCACCCAACTCGCTCATGTCACGAGAGTACACTACTTTTGCAGGAATCCATGCA